ACACTGTTGCTATACCATTGACTCCATTCCCTATGCTGCACCTTTTATCCCCATGACTTACTCATTCCAGAGCTGGAAGCCTGAACCTCCCACTCCCTTTACCCCTTTTTCCCATCTCGCCACCCACTCCCCTTTGGCAATCACAAGTTCTCTGTATCTAGAGGGCTGTTTCTGCTTTTTATTTTTATTTATTTTGTTTTTTAGATTCCACACATAGGTGAAATGATATGGTATTTTTCTGTCTGACTTATTTCACTTAGCATAATACCCTCTAGGTTCTTCCATGTTATTGCAAATGGCAAAATCTCATTCTTTTTATTGGCTGAGTTGTGTATATATACCACATCTTCTTTATCTGTTGTATATATATGCCACTCTTCTTTATCCATTTGTTGGATACTCAGTCGTGTATATATATACCACATCTTCTTTATCCATTTGCCTATCAATGGGCACTCAGGTTGCTTCCAAATCTTGGCTATTATGAATAATGCTGCAATGAACATGGGAGTGTAGATATCTCTTCAATATCCTTTTTTTCATTTGCGGGGGGGGGGGTAAATACCCAGTAGTAGAATTACTGAATCATATGGTTTTTCTATTTTTTTTTTTAATTTTTGAGGAGCCTCCATACTGATTTCCACAGTGGCTGCACTAATTTATATTCCCACCAACAGTGCTTTACCCTGTTGATGAGATAGATATTCTCACCCAAGGGCCATGGGATGCCAAACACACAACACCTTACCTTAGACAGATGAGATTGGTAGATATTTATTAATTATATGTACTCACAGCCCAGGTTGGGGGAAGAGGACACCACACAGGGCCACCTAGAGGTTACCCTTGGGAACCTAGCAAATAACCAGGGGCCTATAAAAGGCAAGCTTTGTAGCACCATTAGGATGAGGTGCCCCCTGGTTCCCTTAGGAAGATGTGATTGGCTTGTTTGAATCATTCCACAGACTGGCAGGAAAGTGAAACCTGCTATGCAGGGGTAAGGAAGAACGATATCTGATCCATTTGATAAAGAGGGATGTTTGGCTAGAGGACCTTATGTATGGGAGCAGAGTGGGAGGGAGAGCCTTTGGGAAGGCTATTTGAGCCCTTCCCAATTTCCCCCAGATATTAAGGCAGCACATAATATTGGGCCTTAATTTTAGGACTTACACTACAGTATCTTAATGATTTTATCTACACGGAGGGGGAGACTAGAACAAGGAAAAGGTTGTACTTGGTAAAGAAGCAGCAGTTACTCATTTTAGCCAAGAGAGGAGGGCGTATTTAGCATTTTGGCATGTGACCTTGCCTCTGTGCTTAGGCAAAATTATGCAGTGACCTTGCTCTGTCTCATTTGATCATGGTCTCAGGGTGACCTTGTCAAGTCTGGTATAGTGTGTGATAGGAGAATAACACAGCCCAGCTCTGAGAGCGAGGCCAGCTTCTGATTGTACAGCTGCTCATTTTTTTCTTTCTCATTTGGGAAGGAACTAATAGTAGTGGGGTTTTAAATTAGATGGATTGATCAGAGAAAGTTTGGTGAAGGAGGGACCTCAAATCTTGGCCTTCACTGCTAATAAGAAGCAGTAGAGAGGGACCACATAGAGAGGGACCGAGGAGGATGGAGACAAGGAGGGAGGGGGACAATTTGTGGAGAGCATTCCTGTCAGAGGGAAATAGCAAATGCGAAGAATGAAATACCTCATTAGACCTGAGGGATATGTTCTAAAAAGCCATTGGGAGTGTGGCTCTTTGCTTCAGTGACTCTCAAGGGGTTGGAGGTAGGAGGAAACCAGAATCTCCGGACAAGAGGAAGAAAATTTTGGAAAGCCTCCAGGGGGTTGTGAGATGACAATCCTCCAGGATGGATGGTCCCTCACTACCTCCACCATTCCCCTACCATTTTAATTTGGTTATGTAGACTTTATATGGAAAATCCAATACTAATTGTTATTATAGCATAATAACAAAATGTTAATAATAATAAACATCCTAGACAACAAAGAAGAGTGGTTATAAGCATGGAACCTGGAGCCAGACTTCCTAGGTTCAAATTACAGTTTTACCACTTTCTAGCTATGTCAACACAGACAAGTTACTTAACTCATGTATCTCAGCCTCTTCAACTGTAAAATGGAGATAATAATGGTACCTACCTCAAAGGTTTGTTGTCAAGGTTAAAATATATATTTAGTTTTTAGACCCGACTCATGGTAAGCACTTTATAAGGGCTACGTGTGTAATAATGATGGTGACAATGATTGGTAAAGGAAAAAAATCTGTAGTTAACACCATATTCCTATAGTGACAAGTTAATCATGGACTAACCAGGATTATATAAATGTCCACACATCTTATTGAGGAATGGTTTATTTTATTTATTGTTATGTACAGGGCCTCCATTCTTACTGCAAGGACAACAGTATAATGGATCAGTCTTTAGCAATGTCTTAAACTATGCATTTAATTTAAAATATTTTTTCCTCTCTGATATGTCTGATACATCCAGGTCTACTGCAGATAAAGGGTTTTAATACATTCTGTAACTGAATTTTTTGGACTTTGCCTGAAAAATGCACTCGGAGCCTCAGATCTTTAATTGAGGCAACCATATTTAGTGTCACTGAAATAAGTGTGATAACAGCTTGGCCGTGCAAAGTTTGACATTAAGAAAACACCTGCCTGGTAATAATAGGATACATGAATTTCAGACAATAGAAAACCAAAGAAAATTACTACTGCCTGTCTTGATCAAATAACAAGAGTTTTCTGTTCATTCCACTATATTCAAAAGTTTATTTGGATTACTATGAAATGTTAACAGAAAATCACTTGGATTATGGGCTCATGGCAGGTGAGGAGTTTTAAAATATTGATAAGTTTTTATACGTATTAGCAGACTTATTAAGGCAAAGTAAAAGAAAAAAAGAAGAAAAGAAATATCTGTCTTGTCTAGATACTCATATAACAAACCACAGTGATCTGAGAAGGAATTTCAAGTATCTTAGTAGGCCTGGGTATATCAGACATTAACTTAAATTTACATACATACCTTTTCTGTCAAGGTTCAGAGCCTCAATAGAATAATGTTGAACATCTCCATCAACTGCCATTTTTTATGTTTGAGGGAAAATCTTTTGAAAAATAAAAGAAACGTTACAAACAAAACTGAAAAATTATGGCTTCTTTTTCCTGTGAGCATAAGAACATTTAACCCCCAACAGGTTGAGAGCATCATTAAGTAAAAAAGATTTTTCTTGTTTTGATGTCAAATTAAGCAAGATTTGTAAAACTCCAATACCGTATGCACTGAACTTAGGGACCCCATTGTAGTCTGTGTTTTCTGCTTGCTTATTGTTAGTTTAACATATTTAGAGTAAACCCTCTTGTTAGACTGCTTTCTGTTTCTAATGGACATGTTTGCACATAATTTAGGAAGCGATATTTTGGCTTGTTTCCTTCCTACGTTGTTTTTTTTTCTGTTTTTTTTTTTCTTTTTACTTAATATCTTAGCATTTATACCAAGAAGTAGTTAATATTGAGTCAACATTAAGTTGACTATAATGAGTTGGTCCAAAGAAAATACAGATAACTGAAATCTATGGTACTGCAAAAATTTAATTTGGTCCTCTACACTTAAATTTACATTGCATTGAACTATTAGCCAGACCTGCTAGCTAACAAACCAATTGAGGATAGTTTATTTTCATTTCTTTGACCCTTCCAAAGATTCATATAACTTAAGGCATATGAATAGCGCTTTACAGTTGATAAGGACTTTTACATATATCATCAATTTTGATCTTCCCAATATCCTTATGAGGAAGGGACTTTATAGAATTATGGAAGATTTTATTATTATCTTCGCTTTCCAGATTAATAAATTGGTGATCAAGCATCATACTCTTAAGTAAAAGCAGGTAATGAGCCTCAGAAAAGCTAAGTCTGGAATTTTAAGCTTTATTGAACTTATTGCCTTGCACTGAGGAAACTTCCAACCTTCTTTCCCACAATAACCCCTCTAGTGATCCTTGTGTGTATACAGCTTCCGACCTTTGAAGCTTTGTCTTTGCTTTTCTCACTCCTTGTCTGGAATGTCACTGCTTTTCTTGAATATCCAAACTGCGCCCATTGCTCAAGGTCCAGCAAAAGTTTGACCTGCTCCAAAAAGTCTTCCAGATCCAACTGTTCTTACTTAAAGAATACAGCGTTTGCAGAGATTGGTTTTATGTTCTTAAGTGTTTTATTTATGTTCAGCTAAACTCTTGTACTCAACCATAAGCTCCTAAGAACAGAGACCAACTCTTATACTTCTTTGAAACTCACAGCACTCTTATCACCAGATATATATATGTAGTAAATTCATCATAAATATTTGGCTATTATTCCTTACTGCCCCCATGAAGCCATTGCTGAGCCATAGATCATCTTACTATATCTGTATTCCAGCCATGTGACTTGTAATTTAGTTTGTATAATCACCTGTTATAGTTGAGTTCAATGTAGTCATTTCAATGTGTTCATATACCAATTGACCCGTGCATTGATTTCTGATGGTAGTGAAGCTCAGGCATATGGCCTACAGAGTCAAATCCACTACACATGCCCGATGGATTCCCTGAATAGAGAGACATTTGGCCCATATATCAGTATTAAGAACAGGAACAGGAAATGTTATGGAGTGATTGCTTTTCTATAGAATTACATTAGCATCACCCATTCTGCTAGTCATAATTTCTCTGCAGATCAGGGAGATCTATCAATGGTAGTTCCTGTCCTACCCCATAGGAAAATGCATTCCGTTATTCATTATAAATGATGCTGATCAAGCATATTGTCATTACAAATTTAATTTTTAAGAAAGAAATTTCCATGTGGAAATGACATCCTTGACAGTCATTATGTTAAAAAACAAAAAGATGGTAACATATGACAATTCAATTCTTCTGGAATGTAAGTATTCTGTTTAAACAAACAACTGCTTTTGTTCATATTTTAAGGAGAATTTGGAGAAGTCTGTAGTGGGCGTTTGAAGACACCAGGGAAAAGAGAGATCCCCGTTGCCATCAAAACTTTGAAAGGTGGCCACATGGATCGACAAAGAAGAGATTTTCTAAGAGAAGCTAGTATCATGGGTCAATTTGACCACCCAAATATCATTCGACTAGAAGGTGTTGTCACAAAAAGTAAGTACTCATTTTCTTCATTACTTTTTTTATATATCTCTATCTCAGTTCCTTAAAAAAACAAACAAAACTTTAATAGCAGTACCATAGCCATTAAGGGGATAACTTAGTTTGGATATCATTTTCTGATATCACCCCTCATAGTCTTGATATTAGGCTACGACATTATCAGAGTTTGCAGTGGTCACCAAACAGCTTTGAAATGGTATTTATTACCTATAAATCATTTGCTAATTTAACTTGAAGTAATGAATCAAAAGTAAAGTATTATAGATTTTTTTCTAATCTCTATAAACTATTCACTTCTTCTAAAGCTGCTAAACTTTCAGTATTAATAGAAGAAACAATTTAAATATTTTGGGTCATTAAGGTAAAATACTTCTGTTTGGAAAAAATCTCATATACAAATAGAGATGCTTTATCTGAAGTAAGACTTTTACATCTATATAGTGGAACCCATCTACATAAATGCCATTAGAATTAAATTATTTTAATTTATATAAAATGGATAAAAGAATTACAACTTCGAGAAAAAAAATCCTGTTTTTACAGAAATAGTGGGATCAAAGCCATTCCTTTGAAGTTTCTTAAAAATACAAAATTAATCTCGTACTCAAATAGATTGCTATATAATCACTTTTACTTGAATAATGATAGGACACAAACCTTAACTATATTTCTCCTTATTTTATTCACTAATGAGTTATATAAAACCCAACAGAGAATGGCATTGAAAAAACTCATAAAAAATAATTTAAATCTTTGAGAAGCATTTTCTCATAAAACTGAAATTTCTTTTAAAACCATTTATACGAAATTGAAATTTCATGTCATATTTGAAAGCAGGAAAATATAAAAGCCTTACAAAAACCATTAATTGACTATGTGTTCCAAAGTCCCTCTCACAAGGCATTGATCAACATGCTGCCCAAGGGGAGTGGAAGATTATTGACAGCCTCAATAGTCTGAAAGACACAAAAGAGTACTTGTGTTTTTCTTTTTATGGTTATCCATTTTTTTCAAGTTTTTATTTAAATTCCAGTTAGTTAACATATAGTATAATATTAGTTTCAGGAGTAGAATTTAGTGCTTCATCACTTACATACAACACCCAGTGCTCATCACAACAAGTGCCCTCCTTAATACCCATCCCCCATCTAGCCCATTCCCCCACCCACATCCCTCCATCAACCCCGTTTGTTCTCTGTAGTTAAGAGTCTCTTTTGGTTTGCTTCCTTCTCTCTTGATGACAGCTGTTGAACTGGTCTTTTACTTCAGTGACCTTAATGGGGCCTGCCAGTATTTATGCCCTTCTATTGTTCTCTCCATTGATTCTGGGCTTGTCCATGTGACTGGCCTTGGGTAATGGGACATTAACACATGTGATGCACGTGGAAGCATCTTACATGTCTGCGCTTTGGATCCTGTCGTCTTGCAACACTACTTCCTGTAACTCAGCCTCCAGTACTGAGCAAAGCCAGTCCATATGGTGAGGCTTCAAGCAGTATTGCAGAGAGGAGGCAAACTAGAATGTCTAGTCCACAGCTCTGTCTGAGCCCCCTGAGACAGCCTGAATGCCAGGCTTGCAACAAACCATCTCAGACATTGCAACCTCTCCCCACCACCACCACCACCACCACCACCACCACCAGATGGCTGTAGCTGCCATTGACATCTTATAGAGCAAAGGAACCACCCAGCTCAATCCAGTCAACCCATAAAGATCATGGGAGAAGATAATTTTTGACTGTTGTTTTAAGCCACAGTTTTGAAAAGTTAGAAATCTACTCCTGCCACTTAAGACTTGTGTAGCTTTAGGTAAATTATTTACCATCTCTATCCTTTACTTCCACATCTATAAAAATAGGGCCAATATAATTCCTACTCCATAGGAAAATACTGTAAGGATTAAATTTATAAATGTATAAAGCATTTAGCATAGTATGTGTCATAATAAGCCACGCTAAATGGTAGCCGTTATTGGTGCTATGTGCCAGGCACTTTACACAAATAGTTTATCATTTCATTTTCACAGCAACTACTGTGAGTATCATTATCCACTGAAGCTCAGACAGGTTAATTAACTGGCAGAAAGCCCTCTAACCCATAGTAAGTAGCATGGCAGGTATTCAGGCTGAGGTCTTTTTGACTCTAAAACCCATGGGGTGTGTGTGTGTGTGAGTGTGTGTGTTGTTTTTTTTTTTTTTCTTTTTTCTATATCTACATGAATCAACCAGTTTTATACTTTAATTATCTTTATCCAATCTGAATTAAATAACATTAAATAAATGACAATCTGAATAAAATAATATAGTACTACTTTTTAAAATAAAGAAAATATTTAGGTTGTGAAATAAACTACTTCTAAAATGTAAAATTTGGAAAGATCCAGCTATACCACAATAGCTAGCAAAGACTATAATTTAAAAGCGAGAGAATAACATGTTAATTATTTCATTTATATTTTCTGAATTCCTTGTCATTAATTTAGCATGAACTTTTCAAGTCATTCCTTCTGTCTTCTATCTCTCTGGAAGGAAAAATGTAAGTTTAAAGTTGGGTTATGAATCTTCCCAAAGCATTTAAAATAACAACTTAAATATACTGTTGAAGTCTTCTTACATGTATTTTTGCATGTAATATCTGGAAATAAGTGTTGAACAATAAATTTAGAGGTTGAAAGGTATTAGATCTTTTTTCTCCCTTTGATGAATAACATTATGTGACTTTGTCAAAAATGCCTGTGTTTTATTCACATATCGTCATATATTTTATATGCATATAAATACATAAAAGTATATGAAAAGGAAAATGATTTATAGCCCTATGAAGTAGTAAGATTTATTTATCATAAATCAGCTGAATAGGTTTAATGAGATAGTCGGTGGTACTCGTCTGCCAGTTTGAAATACTCCGTTTATTTCACATAAACATGCAAACAGCTGACACAGTGATTGTTTCACATCTCTGACAATCTAGTCTCAAAAGGGGACCAGTGACCTCCACATAGCCAGATTTGTATGCTCCCTAAGTCAAGGTCCTTGTTCCATTTCAAGAAAAAGAAAGAAGTGGGGGCAGCAGGGATGGAAGGAAAAGATAAAAAAAGATCATCAAGAAAGGACAGACTCAATATGCTTTTGAGTGGCAATCATTGTTACAGTTTTAACTTGTACAAGTGAGCCCCATATAAGGGTGTTGTGCCGCTGCTGAGGTGGGTGGTAGAGGTGGAGGAAGGAGTAATTCACACAAAGATAAGTGGGCATATTTATACTGTTATCTTCTTGACTCCAGTGCTATGAGATTTTTAAGGCAAAGGCAATAAATAAATGAATGCCTCATTCCCATAAATACATGGTAATTGTTCCAAGATTGCCCTTAAGTATCTAAAAGATAGCTAGCAATTAATGCTCCCTAAGGACTACCATATTGCATAAAAGATAATACTGACAAAGATAGAGATGCAGGATAGGTTTATGCAGTCATGTTAGTAGAGTATCCTGGGGTTCTGAGAAATAAACACACAGACTCTCAGTTGAAAGTAATGCAAAATTATAGATCAAAATCTTCATCAGATCCTTTCATAAATTCTTAATATGCATACTTTTTATCTTATGTATATGTTTTATCTCTGAGAGATACATAGTACAAAGTTTGTGGGAACACTTTTGCTCTTTCATATTCAGGCATATAACTACTTCTATTTTAAACTTTAAAGTTAAATGACAAAAAGCTGCATTATATAAAAAGTATGTGTGATAAAAGTTGAACCTACTTATTTGATACACATCACAATTTCATTAACCTGTTAAGATAAAACTGGTATAAAAAGAGATTAATTGACCGAAACCATATGTTTAGCACATACTTTTTCTCCAAGAAGCAAATAGAAGCCATTAGTTAGAGAACAGACTTGTAGCCATTAGGAGCACGGACAGTAGCAATTTGTAACTGGTAAGGTATACACCAGTGTCATTAATTACATAACCAAAAGAGAAAGTGCCACTCTTCTATAAAGAGAAGAATTATGGTTAGATAATGAAGCAATACAGTGGTGTAACCACACTCCAGAAGACCGGGCCTGGCAGTTTGAATCATGACGATAGAAGAAACAAGAGAGGACTAATGAAATTCCCATCTCCCAGCTTAGTAGCTGATAATTAAATTTAGATAGAACAGCTACATCTCTAGCAAATCATAGATCTAGAAAGGAGTAGTAGAAGCCAATCAGGATAGCAAACAAACTCTCAAACAACTTCACTTCATTGTTGGACATCACTAACGACTCTGTGGGACAGTATGGAAGCCTCAACAGGAAGTGCTGGGCCTGGCAAACCCTCTTTAAATATGCCAGAATATTGTGCTCTACTTGTCAAGTAATACATTGTCCAAGATTTTAACTATTGCTGTTGCCACCAATATGATACCTGCCTCTCTACCAGGTTGTGTATCCTCCTGCCTGTTACAGAGTCTCGGGCAAGTCACTCAATGTCTTTAGGCCTCAATTTTTTTCCTCTGCACAAAAAGATTGAAAAGTGCAGATTGGACTAGAAAACACATCTATCCCTAATATTTTGTGTTCTGTTCCTTTGCCAGAGGAAGAGAGTCACAAGATGTTGGTGAGGAAAATTTCTACTGTGATAACTTATCACCCCATTTCTAACTTTTTTTTAATAACTTCAGGTTTGTTTCAGTTATCTAAAGAGAAGATAGGTTCAGGAAGAAACAAAAAGTACCTTCAATAAAGTTTTATCTTTAACAATCTGTGAAGAGAAAAGGGTAGGTAAAATTTTTCCTATAAGCAAAAATTTTCCTGTAAGGAACTATATGGAATACACATTGAAGGGGTAAATATTCTGCAAATCTGATTCTAATAAAATAAATTAGATGGTTATTAACCCCACCTCTGGAGTTCAGCTTCTCTGCTAGCTAAGATAGGTTGAGAGTTTTGTTTTGCTTTGTTTTCCAAGAAATAGTTACTGAGTACTACCAGGTGCTAGACA